TTTTGGAAGTGSCACCACCTTCACTTTTCTAGAATGGGAATAAATGGGCCTCATCCTGTTCAGTGCAATCATTATGAAAATGTTACTTGATTTTCAGGGGAGCAGTGGTGTGGKTTAGAGACTTTTATAACATATATGATTAAATTATATCTATCATTTRCGTGGTGCAGTTTTGATATCATTGTTTTCTGTCTCTGAAGTAAAGCTACAATAGACCAAATAGATGGAACTAAAAGCATTTACATTTCATCCATGCTTTTCTTTCTTTTCTTTGCACAAAATTATTCTCAGATATTTCCCAGCAGGRTACATATTTCAAACAAAAATACTGATACAGAAAACTATCACCTGCTTTCCTTTTCTTCACAAAAATCCATCAGGAAATCTGTTTGCTGCACTCCTCAGAAGATGATCATATACAAAGGAGCRAATATATGTGTGGCATAATTTCACAAAGTAAGGGGTTTCTTTGGTGTGTTCATATTCCATAGAGTATTTGTACAATTCATTGCCTTCATAAATCAAAGTGTAAAATGGCACTGAGGTTTTCTACACTGAACCAGAAAGTAAGAATAGCAGTGAAATATAGCAGAACACATACTGCTTGGGAGCAGGAGAACTGGAAAAATCTAGTTTGATGCAAGACTTTCTCAGGTGGATTATTTCAGGCCTAACAACATGACTGAACTCATATTGCAACATTTCCCTTCAACAGAAGGGACTAAAGGGATCTTCTCTTTATCTAGGTGCTTATGTTCACAATATTGTTAATGAAAGGATATCTTTGGAGAGATTTACCACTGTCTCATTTGGTTTTAATTAACCAACATGATATGAAGTTCTGAGAAGGGAAATGACAGGCATATAGCCTATAAAACCAAGATTACAAAACWGAGACCTAGCTAACTTCCTGCTGTCTGAGGATTTGAGTATTCAAGACCCTGCATACAATATGACAACAGTAGGCTTCACTGAAATATTTGTGGTAAAAGATAARCAGCAGTACAGAAAACACCATTTTAATGCAGCTACTGAGTACAAATAAAATGGTGTTGGTTAATTAACATGTGGTGCATCCCACACAACAGCATATCCACTTGAAATGCCATTTATTTAGACATTTTCCAATCTGTGTCATTCCTTATACATTTTTTATTTTCCTGAACAATTCTTGGACATGAATGCTTTATCTGAATTAGGAGATGGCAGGTACACACACACACACACACACACACACACACACACACTCATACACGTGCATATACCTGTATAAATTATGAGAGAAAATCACTTATTTTCTCCTGTCAGGTGGCAGAGGGTCACATTTTGTAACTGTCTATAATGGTAATAAAGATTAAAATACACTGCAGCAAATTTKCCAGCCTGGATGCTTTTCAGCACCATTTGTGCTTTAGGGAATCGTGTGGCTTGGGGAAGATCTACAGAGGCAGGTTCAGGTTCTCTCTCCCACCTACTCTGGATTGCCTAGGAGTATGTCACTAGTAATGAAACAAAAAACACATTGTATGGTTTTATGGGCCTGTTATACATAACTTTGCCACTTTTCATTAAAAAAAAAAAAAAAAAAAAGAACAGCCATTTGTTTAAAGCATCTGAGCAAATGAAGATGGTAAAATGTCAAACTAAATCACATCCCAGGTCCATGCATGATAGAAAAATAATATATTACCAGCAAAACTTCCCTGAATAAAAGCATGCTGTACAGTCTCATATACATGCAAAAAAGGTTAAATATAAAAAAGAATGACAAATGTCATGGCAAATGTCTAATGTCTCTACAGCTGGCAATATCCTTTCATGTGTCATACTAACTACTTGAGAATACAAAATAGTAAAGAATAAGACATTGAGATCAAGCGATGATAACTTGTGGCAAATAGGAAAAAATCGAGGTCTGAAGTTTCCTGAAGTTTATAGCTCATGCAATGAAAGTTTTCAGTTTATTCCATTCAAATATCAGATCATGAATCCCATGAAAACTCTTATCATGYCGGATTTCCCRGGAATGCTTGATGTCAAATTCTACRTTATTCMTTTTTATRAATTTTCTCATGGGGAAGGARCTTATTTCATATGCTTCTGGAARCAAAACTATTATGAAAGAAGCTCTATAGGGCTTCCTTAATATTTGCAGTTTTGAAAAAAAAAATKAAATAAAAGTAAATAAATGGATTATTTTATACTTTGCCAAAACACTTGCTGAGTATTGTCAGGATCATACTGTTCCCTGATCTCATAGGAGCTGAGAGATCTTAGAATGAGAGAAAAATAATTGCCTCAGAACCACTAAAGACAGAATTACATTTCCTTTCATTTCCAGGAAGCAATAGTAAAACAGAAACCCCGCAATACCAATCAAAATGATAATTTGCAGAACGAGTCCTAAAATATCTGGATGAACGTGGATAGTCTGAAGAGCACTTGGTGCTCAAAACCAAAGCTGCAGATGTTATTATGATTAAGAGCATTGAGTCATCCAAACCAGAGTCCTAAACTTTTGTCCTCTCAGTTTTTGCTGTATTTTTCCTCCTTTGCCTATACTAGAATTGCAACCTAGGTTAGGATGCCATCAAGAAAATACATTTATTAGGCAATGAATGCCAACTTGTTCTCTATTTCCATCACTTTTTCATATTGCTGGGAAAATCACAACCATGACTCATTTTTTTGATGACACAAATCTGCTCCATGATCTTTTCCACTAATATTTAATTTCTCATATACAATGTGTCTTTAAAGAGTCTTTTATATTTGTAATATATGTTATGTAATCAATACACTAAAATATGCTTTATATATCTCTATTAAAATTGGTCCACGATTTCTGTCAATTAATCTTTATGCCTTGAAATGTACATTTTGGCTGAAAAATATCATTTTTGAAGCTGTGATGAAATTCCACAAATATTCTGGGGACCAATAAAAAAGGAACAGTAACTTTTWWWAAAAAAACTTGGTACAAAGCTTTATTTTGGAAACTACATTTTTCTTTCGATATATATAAGATGGCTCTTCAGAGAGATTTAAAAACTCAGACAAAAGAAGGATTTTATTTCAGATAGAACTGAAATGGGTTGTTCGRTATAAGTTTATTTTGGATGGGAGTATGAAGTAATGATACATTTTGTATCAAAGTTAACAGTYGTGGGTTTTTCATATTTAAGATTAGTCTTTGCTTTGGACTATAAATTATTAATCTTTAATTAATATTTAATGGGAATATTGTTCATCTCAATGTTGTTGATAAACATATTTAATTTTATGCTGGCAGTTCTTGTTTCTTTTTTCTTATTCAGTTGAATGATAGGTCACATTTATTAATCAGGCTTCTTTTAGTGAGGATACAACATTCACAACCACTTTGAACATGGAACTTTATATCTTGATTCTAGAGTGGAAACTGTTTAAACATTAATGTTRCTCAATTATACCATAGCTTTAATACAAATATAACTTATAATAAGCCTGGAGAAAATACAGTCATCAGATATTGGTAAGCGATGAGCATGTGTTTATCAGAATTCACCTCGAGTCCTGTGTGTAGCTTAGAGCACCGCTATATAAGGATATAAAGTTATAAGGGAATAGCCAGAGGAGGACTGTGAAGATGGTGAAGAGCCTAGAGGAGAAGYTATTTGAGGAGTAGATGAAAATACTTGGTTTGTTCAACCTGGAGACGAGGAGACTGAGACGAGACCTCATTTCAGGCTTCAACATCCTCACTGAGGGAAGCAGAGTAGCGGACACTGATTTCTGTCTGGTGACCCATGACAGGATCTGCGGGAACAGCATGAAGGGGGAGGTTTAGGTTGGATATAAGGAAAAGATTCTTCACCCAGAGGGTTGTTGGGCACTGGAACAGGCTCCCCAGGGAAATGATGACAGCACCAGCCTGAGAGAGTTCAAGATGCACGAGGACAATGAGCTCAAGCACATGGTGTGATTATTTGGGCTATTCTATGGACAGCCAGGAGCTGGACTCAATGATCCCTGTGAATCATRGAATCATAGAATATCCTGAGTTGGAACTCAATAATAGCCCTTCCAACTCAGGATATTCCATGATTTGATGATTCTATGATCTGTCTTGTGATCAGCCAACTCAGATACTCTTGAATTTAGAAAATGTTCCTGTGTGGATCCAAGCCTGCGCAGCAGAGCCTTTCCATATGCTGTTTAAAAGCATCTGCAGGCAGAAAAAGCTTGACTATTTTTTTGCTACTGTGAATGTCAGCACTGGCTGGTAGATGATGCTCARTCTCTCTCCATGGCAGGCTGCCTGCTCCTTCTGTGTGGGGGAGTTAAAGCACATTCTTGCAGCATGGAGAGAGGTGTTACAGAAACTACCATCACCAAGTTGTAAATCCCAGCCATACATTGCTGGAGGACACAGAGTTTAGGAAGGTGAAGCTTTTCAGCTTTGGGTTCCAGATCCTGTTCTGGTGCTGAGCTCCAGTGAGCAGTCATGTCCTGCACACTGTGCACTCCTGTAAAAGAGGGCAAGATCCTCTCCTCTTCCCATGGCTGGAGCAGCAGTGGCTGCACTAGAAACTCTGCTTGTTCTCCTGTCTCTCCAATGAAGAAACATGATCACCACAGGTGTCCTGAGGCACACAGAGTTGGGTTGCAGACCTCCATCTAAACCACCCTGAAGAAAAACTGCAGATGTTTAACCTACACTGTTTCTATAGTTTCCTTTTAGCACCAAATTGGAAAAGATAAATCCTTTGCTCTCCGTTATTAACAGCTAATCTGACCCTTTTTATGCAGCGTGAAAACCACTCAAGAGACTGATTAAAACTGTAAAGGCTTTATTTTGACACACAGGAAAGCAGAGAAGGGTTCACCAGACTTAAGAGTCCACAGGAATGTGTCCTATCCAATGGCCACTAGTAACATGAAAAATGATTGTCCAAGGCAATCCAGCAATATATTACAAGAAGAAAAATGCATACTTTACTTTTTTTTTTCTTTTCCAGAACCACAGAAAAAAGAAAAAATAATGGAATCTGGTGAATATTGTTTACATTTTCTCTTACTTTTAAACTATCTTTATATTTTAAATGAATTCATGTCAGAAGTCAATATTTGATTKTTTTTGTTTGTTTGWTTTTACAGCCAAAACAACAAAGAAAGAAACAAAAGTACAAGGTAAGTCATACAAAAGACSGTAACTTTTAGTCTCATTTATCTGGTTTGATTTTCAGCTGAGACAGGATTAGGCAGAGGGCTAAAAAAATAAAGCCATGAATATAATTTTACTTGCTTAATTAAAGTTACTTAAGCAATTGAATGGATGTGGAGCAACGTGGTCTTCTGGAACTGAGATCTAATTAAATGTTGAGAAGAACAAGAGAGTGAGACTTCTTGATTTCAGCTTTTAAAAGGTTCATCTTTTCAAAGAAAGTTACAGTAAATGRATTAGGAAACAAACAGAAAATAGAAGATTTTGAGTGTGAAGGGTAGGAATAAAAGTAGGCTGTTTATTTTGCTTAAATGCATCTAAATGCATGCACCCATGCATTTTATTGTTGCAGCAAGGTASTCTTATTTCCAAGTGGAATCCACTTCTCCAGTTTATCCAGAGMATAAAAATTTTCTCCTTTCACAGCCAGGCTTGATGACTCAATCATCAGATGACTCTATTTTCTCAGATAGAAATTTGGAGCAAGAAATACCTACAGTAGGCAGTCAATTTATAGAAAAACGGATCTGTCCTTTTCTATAGCATAAAAACCTGTCACAGTGCTTCAGAATGAAGGTGTGAATAATGAAAAAAAAAAAATGTGGTGATTCAATTAATTTGCATTTAGTTAATGCAATTATGAAGAATAATGAAGAAATTAGTCTGAGAAAACTTGTATTAAGGAAGACTTTTGAAACTGGATCCTGCTCTGTTTGAATATCAACAGTTTCAATGAACAAAAAACAAAAAACCAAAAAAAAAAAAAAAAGAAAAAGATAAAAAATCCTACCTTCTGCAAATCACTAAAATTGTTAAAAGAACAGTTCTGTAGCATATCCTCCACCTATGGTTCATATATGCCCCTTCTGTAACCTATTTTATTCCTTTCCTCATGCTCATACTTGGAAATAGCAGAGCTATTGAAGCTCCTCACATAATTTATTTTTTGACCTTGTTTTCCACTGCTTTTAATCTGCAGGTTAATTAGTCATCTGCCATGAGACTTTCTAAACAAGCAACATATGTGTGTGGCAGTTTTTCTCTACATAAAAATGAACTCCTGCTCTGCATAGATAGGTAGCATATTGGCCAAGGGAAGAGGTGTTAGGATCAATTTYAATTGCTTTATTCATTTACACAATTTATTTCTGTGAATGTTTTCTTTCATTTTACAGCATCTGTGGAAACTCCAAAGTCAAAAGGTGAGTAATTTTATTTGTTTGTAAAATTGAAACGGGAGAATGCTGCTGTTAACTTTCCTGTAATGAAAAAAAAGCTTCTTGTAAAAAAATCTTTTAACAGGTGTGACTTATTTAAAACAAACACCATTTAAATTATAATTAAACACCTCAAAGCAGGTGCTTTTTCCTCAAGTTGTTCATAGAATAATTACAGTTCTACAACCATATGAAATTCAGTTTCTAACTCTAACCGAAACCTTAAGGCTTTTGTGGCAGACAGAAAGAAGTGACCAATTGTCTACAGAGACATAACACASAGTTATATTTCTCTTTTTGCCAGTCTAACTGCAGCACAAACCCAGTGACTGAACAGCTGTTTCCTTTAAGGAGTCTAGGGAGTTTTCCAGAGAGGTTTGGTGGAAAAGATTTTGCCTGTTTTTCATATTTGAACTATTGATGACAAAAGGCAGGAGGTGTGAGAGCATCAATGCTTGCTCCAAAGGTTTCTCGTTTCCACAAGGAACAGGGAACTGGGACTGGGGAGAAACATCAAGGACATAAATTCAAGCTGAGCAGATAGAGCAAATGTTTAATTGTTTCTCAGCAGTGTCTGGTTTTTACATATGTACAGTGTAAAATACTAGCTCCAAAGTGCCTTCAAGAACATTACAGGTTTCAGCTGTTAGTTTCAAAAAAAAAAAAAATAGAAAATGCAATGTCTTTAAGAAACTACCCTTCCCTCACAGTCTATGTTTATTCATGTCAATGACCACCATACTTTTAACAAGCCTTCCCTTTCAGAAAAATGGGAAAAAGAAATTTTAAGAAGTTCTCTGTTAGTTAAGGATGAGTGGAAACTGTGGGTTTCCATTACCTAATACAAGAATAATTCTGTTATTTCTGTTGTCAAAAGAGCACTCTCACAACTGAAAGCATTGGCCTCAGCCATCTTCGTTTCACCATAGGATCTACCTAAAGTTGAACCTGAAGTTTTTATCCAGTGTTTAAATAAATGACAACTTTGTTTTATTCTTCATTAAATGAAAATGAGATGATTTTAGCTCTGGGACAATTGTTGATTTCTTAAAAATTTCTTGTTAGCAAGTCATCTAAATTTTACTTTATGTGGCTAATTTTGAAGCTTAAACATCATCTGTACTCCTGGGGAAAAATCATTTTTATACTAAAATGTTACAGTTGTTCTTTTTGCCACTTAGTAAGAATCACAAAGGAATGTTGTTTTCTTATTTTCTTCTGTATTATTTGTAATGCAGACAATTCTAGTAGTGTTTAATAGTAGTAGTTAGGTAATGTTTAACCTTTCACCAAGTCTGAAGAAAATCATTGCTTTTCAATCCATATTTGTTTGTTCTACATTGTTGTTATTTATTTGTTTCTCATTTTTCTGCTATTAATCCTTATAACTTTAGCAGCTCTCTGGGCACAATGCGATTTTCAATATTCAGTAGGTGTAGGCAAATTTAAAATTTTATAAGCATTTTCATGGAAGGCAAGCAATCCTGTTCAGAAAAAAAAGCAAGACTTTTGATGAAATGATCTTCTTTGGTAATTAAAAAAATTAATCTTCTGGCAGAAAATAGAGTCTGGGCMATTCCCACTACCTTGTACTTTTCATAAGAACTATCAAACTCATATGGAGCTTTCTTTCATTTTATCGCAAGTTACTACAGCACAATTTTTTTTTAATTTCTCCATATAACAGAACAGATTTTAAACCATAGCATACACTTCTTAGGTTAATGATTTCTCGAAGTTTGTGATGTCACAATAAGGAGCCTCAGGGTGCAGTGAGTGAAAYGCTCTTTGTTTCCAGTGAGGATGATTTCTTTCGGTCTTCCATCACACTGAACAAATATCTCAAAATAGCTTTAAAATCAGTGACATTTTAGAATGCATATTCGTGATGTGGATGCTAGTTATGCAACCTGACTCTTTTGGGATAAAAATATTTGATTGTAGCCTACAACTATTGAGACTGCAGAAATATTTGACTGATGAATTGCTCTCCTGGCYACTTTGAGCATAAAACAATATCTGCTGAATTGTCTCTCATTTGATTCCTAAGAGCTTATGATGGAATCAGAGAGACAATTATAAAATAAATTGCCCATTTGAACTACATTATGCCAAGTTGTCAAGAATTTTGCTGAGAAATGACAAAATATGTGTGGGAGTATGACTCAATTTATTTAATCTATTTTTTTAAAATCTACCAAAAATATGGGTCCCTGATGAATTTCTGATTTTACCTTCATGTGCGCTTATTTTATTTTGTATTGTTTTGTGCAGGGGTTTCCGTGGGTTTGGGAGGGGGTGTTGTATTTCTTCTTTATTTTTTTAATGCCTGCATTCTACTGAGGAGAAAATTATAATATGTTACAACATCCATGTTRTTTAAGTCACACGGCTAAAGGATAATCTTTTCAAATCTGAATTGAGAATGAGAATACCTGGAGCAGGACCATTTTTCACAAAGAGATCATCTTTCAGGCTGCCATTCAGGAGTGGCAGGAACTTTGAAGATGCCCAGTGGAAGAGATGACATCTTGACCCAGAAAACTTGTCCCTGATAGAAACAGAGACAACTAAATCTTCTTCTGAGTTTTATTCCAAACACCAACTCTACATGGACTCTTTCTATTTCTACAGACTTTCAWAGTGGCACCTATTATCTTGATGATAAAAGACCTCTCAGAGTCACCAAAGTAGCTCGTGCCTCCCTTCTGAAAAAGCAAAGGGAGCAATGGAATGTCTGGTTTGTCCTTCCCAGACACTTCTGTGTCTAGATGGTGTTATTTGGCAATTCCCAAAAGTTGCTGAAGCTCTGTTCTGTCTCTGCAAGTTCTTTGCAAGCACTCACACGCTCATGGAAGTGTTGTAGCATTCCTGAATGCACTGACATCCAGAATACTGTTAATGGTACTGGTTGTTATTGCAGCCTCAGTGTTTCTCATTGATGGATGGTTCCTTCATGATAATCACACTCCAGGTCTACCACCATCACACAAATTTGAGGACTRAGCACCTGATTTTCTCAGAAAGTTCTTTTAGCCTGCAGTTTGTTATCCAGAAAAAAATACCTTTATTCCATTAGTATTTTGTTTTTCAGAAATTTTACAAACCAAAACTATTTTCATTTTAGCTAAAAAGGATAAACATTGGAGAAAACAACGGTTCTCAAGAACTCATTTARCTCTCATCATAGCTGCTTATGAAGCTTTAGATGCTAACAATGCATTTTGAAATGCRTACAGGACAGGTTTCTGGGGCCCCTTTTCATATATTTCTTTTCCTATTAAAATGAGCTTATTCTTCAARATACTGGCCTCTTCAGTAAGCATTTTAGAAGCACCTTGACATTGATTTTCTTGGTGGTTCAGGGTTCAGTGCCCAGATTCATCTCAGCTTGTCAGTGACTAGTTCATGGTTAGTATAGGTAGCATTGCTGATCTGGGCCCAGATAACATGGATGTTAATAGCAGAGGTCCACAATTAATATTAATGATCTTCGGTCCTCTTTGGCTTTCTCTGTGTCCATGAACACCAATATTAAATCAGGGATTTGGATAGAAATGGAATGCTCACTTTTTTTCTTTGAGGATYGGATCAGACATATTTTCAGCCTAGAAGTGGTTTTCAGGAAAATTGAGGATTATCTCTAATGAAATAAGTTCCCTGAGGTGTAGAAGTGTAATATCTCACTCTTTACATGGAGCTTGCTGGCAAACACCTGCTCGCATCACAATGGAGTGRTTGATGTCTGGGAGGTGGTTCATCCCACTCAACATGAAAGTTATCTATTCATCCCTGGCATTTCAGATTCAGGGAATCTGGGAACAGAAGAKCATTCCTTTGCCCCCCTCTCCACCAGCAGACATTGCAGATGGGCCATAACTTATTAACCAAGCTGGTCTGCTTGAGCCATCGTGCCCAGCAGTTTCAGAAATCTCTTGAAGGGATGTCCTGGTGATGCCCCTGGGGCCAGACTTGCAGCCCAAGCTACAGGGGAACAGTGAATACACATGGAGGCACTTCACAGATCTTTTGAATTCCCTGACTTTCTCAGCATAAATAATGATAACAGATCCTCAGAATTTATTTTGTCTCTAAAAGCCAAACTCYTAATTTTCAACTGTGATTTGTTGTATAAAATGAAAGATTGAAATAACAAGCTGAGAGATTGTTATATATGGTAATGACCCTGAAGCTGYAAAGACATTTTCTATACCCATCAGATGTAAATTGATTTTCACTGTCCACTTTACATCCTGCCATTTATGCTGATTATTTTTTCTTTGTACTATTTTCAAACAAGACAATGAGAGTGAATTTTTTTTTTCTTAATGTCACATTTTTTTGTCAAAAACAGTGTGAGAGGATACCCTTTTAAATTAAAACAAGGCTTCTTATTTAGCATAATGGTTACAAATGACACTACAAAAGCTTGGTTTCACACAAGTGAGGTGTTGGAAGTGCCATTTACTGCTAAACATGTGTGTTTATTGATTTGCAAGATCAGTAAAGGTTCAGYAGCCCTGCTGCAAAAATGGCCAGGTTCATACTCCCTGCTTGCCCACAGAAATCTCARTATTCAGAAGAATTGAGTTAGATGTCACAACACACAGCCCATCTGTGTCCTGTTGCCCTCATTAAGACTAACCACACACTTAAAACTGAGAAAATGGGACAATATTTTGCTGTGCAGGTGTGAAGAGTGGAGGTTTCTCCTGGTGCAAACGAAAACCCTGCTTGCTTGGAGAACCCTGGCTGGACAAAGTAAAAACCTGCTTACTTTTCTGTCTTTGCCACTACAAAATAAGTGTTGCAGTTTAGACCCTCTTTCACCTGAGATCTCAGAATTATAGAATGGTTTGGGTTGGAAGGGACCTTAAAAATCATTTCGTTCTAAGCCCCCTGCACTTGGCAGGCACACCTTCCACTAAACCAGATCTACTACTAATTTTCTGAAAGAAAAAAAATCGCTCTTTTTTTTTCAGACAGGCAAAAAAAATCTATTATTTATTTGTTTGGGGCAGGGGGGGGAGAATCTCATGCTTGAAAATCTTTGAAATCTTTTGACTCATTATTATGTGTAACATTTAAGAAGGACTTTGTCTGATGTACCAACACTTCTGACTAGAAAACTTACTTAAACTGTTTCTTTTATTTGCAGCAGGACTTGAAAAAAAGGAAGAAAAAGCAACAAAGGCAGCAGTGCAAGGTAAAAAGAAAACAAAGCATGTTGGCTTTATCTCTCTTAAAAGACAATGGCACGGAAACAATAACCTCAGATTCAGAGAGATGGGTGACAGCAATCTTTAAATCCATTGGTTCACTTGCATTTTTTCAGAGCTCTGCGGTCTTTGTCAGAGCAACAGGGAATTTCAATTATAAAACCAGCTTTGTCCTACTTTCACAAAACTGCCACCCAGCGAAATGCTTCAGGTAAATGACTGCCCACTTCAGCTGAAAGGGTTTGTGCTGGGATTTTGTGTCCCTCTGATCTTGCAGGAAGATTCCTGCCCCGGTAGCCTGGACAGGGATCAGCCTTTGCTACTCAGTCCTGGAGGGTAACCTGCAGTGAGGTGGAGGGGCAGAGGGCCCCTGGAGTCAGCTGAGCTGCCCTTCTTGCCTCAGATGAAATATCAGCCCCATGAAGAGCCACAAAGGTCTTTTGAAGAGGAATTGAACAGCTTTTGAGACCCGACCTTGTAGAAATTTTTCACAAAACCTCAGGATTTTATCATTAAGTAATGAGTGGAAATGTCTGAGTGGGAACACCAGAAAAAAGGCTACATGAAGCACGTGTTGATGGCACATAGTTCAGAGGGACACAAAGTCTACATCCAGTACCCCTGCCAGAGCAGGAATGCCAAGGGACAGTCTACATCGAGGGCAAAACAAAACTCAGACCACTGAATGAGCATAAAAAGAGAAAGATTGGCACTTTAAACCATCTAAAGACACGCCTTTTCCTACTGTATAAATTTAGATTTATTATTATTATTATTACCTTCAGCCTTATATCATCCATACTTGCTTCTTGCTAAGAATCATACTTGTTAAAATCAATCCATACTTTTTTAGGTTAGTATGGTAAGAGGCAAAGTGATAAAAAAGGGGTGCAAATACCCAAAGCTTATCAAATGTAGTTTCCTTTATGTGATACACATCCTAGCTGCCTWCTAAGGTGATTTCTGTATTTACTTATGCCCAAATTGGCTGTTTGAGCCCTGATGATGAACTTTCCAGTAACCTTTAGAATAAGGTTACAACTGATGTAGCTTTGGTCAGTCAAGCTATAACCCCTGTCTTTTCTCCCATTTCTCAGCTTCAGCTTTACTCAGCATTACTCAAGCCAGCACAGTCACCCTGCAGCAGCTGTCAGCTGCTTGGTAGTTGTCATGGAAAATGTTATAATTAGGTGGGCCTTGGCCTAGATTTCAGTCATTGTTAGGCTGGGTATCTCCACACTATTTCCATGGCCACASAAGTGCTTCTCCAAACATGTGCCCTGCTTCCCCTCTCTTTGGCAATCTCATGCAGCAATCAGGTGTGTGCTTGCTGTAAGGTTTGTCCTTTCTGCKGTGTGCCACCATTAGATGGGATTTTATCTGCCAAACATTTTAACTGTGCCATAAAGAGCACAGACTGAGTGAGCAGTACAAACTATAAATTTCACATGGTTGGCATGGAGCAAGGTTTTCTAAACCACAGGCTGCGATACCCAAGGAACTCAGAAGGGGGGAAAACTCCTTTCCCATGACAGCAGCAGCAGCAGCAGCAGCAGCACTGTCTCCCATGCCCACATGCCCTCCTGGCATGAGGATACTCCAAGCTGAAGGAATAAGAGCAACATGTAATGTCTGTCACAACTATTTCTGCAGCCACTTCCAAGCGCTGGCAGCAGCTCAGTTCCTCTGATGCACACAAGCCAGCACAAATGCTTTCACACAGCAATTGCCTCTGCTTCTCCTTTCTGCACCCTGCATGGATGGAGCTGCTGCCAACACGTTGATCACTCAAAGACAAACAAGCCAAAAAACTTTCTGGGTACTTTTTAATATTACCATGCACTTATGTTACTCACAGATGGGGACTTTGCATCATGATGCATTTAAAAAAATAGAATGATTCAGTCTTGGTCAAAACTGGGATTTGCAATCTAAAGAAAACAATATAAGGAGACTTGCAGGAAAATCTGGGGTGTTGGACACTGGATTTGCTTAGCAATCAGGACATAACTTGATTGTTTCAAACAAAGGTTTTAGTGATTATTGCAGCTTTGACCTCAAATCCTTACATTTGGAAAAGGGCTGAAAGGTTGTAGCAACACTTCAGTTCATTGTTTTTTTATTAGTTGCAAAGCCAAATCCCAGGTAACATTTTTAACTGTTAAAAGATGAGCAAGAAGGCACTTAACTTTAACTCTTTGACCTATTTGTTTGAAAAATGTCATGAGCAAATGTCAGATGGTTGCCAGGAAGTTAATGCCTGTAACTGAGAATTAATATGTAACACAGATAATAAAAAGGCAGAATCTTTTTCTGGTGGTATCCAACAGTACTAAGGAAGGAGATTTGCCATCAGAATGGGTCATGAGAGATGTTGTTGAGCAACAGTGGGGGTGCAAGATATATTTAAGCACTTAGGGCCAACATGCATTTAAATACCTTTTCATTAATTGATCACATTTAAAAGAATTTCCTATGTGAAGATGTATTCTAACATTTCTCTTTTTTTTCTCTTTTCACTTTTTTTTCCCTTCCCTTCTCTTTCTTCAGACAAACCAAAGGCGAAACAAGGAAGTAAGCAATAGTTTTACTCATTAAAGTAACATCTTCCACAAGAGTTTGGGTAACTATATTCTTACTAATGGAGATTCACAACAGCTTTAATTTCTTATATGCAGGCTTTTGAAAGTAAAGGCTTTATGTCACTCATTAAATTACTTATTTTGGCTGGAGCACTGTCTTCAACTGTTTTTTTTGTAGATGCTATTGAACGGAACATGAAATCTCTTGGGAAATTTTCATTGGCCATGAGCACACAAGAGAAAGTTTTTCAGTCTTCCCATTGAATTTTATTTCTTTTTGCAAAATCTTCTGTGATGAACTTAATGTTTCAAAATTGTCATTGATTTTTATTAGGACTATGAATATGCCTGGATTTGTGCACTAAATATGCCTCACAGATATCTGCAGTAAATTGCATATTTCTCATTTTGAAAATCAGTGACAATAATACATTGGTGAGTACAAAACATGAAGGTCAAAGTAGGAGAGCAGGAGTAGTTTCTGAAGCAGATGTCTGAGGTCTAGTGAGGAATAGAAGAGAGTTTTATTTCAATAAAATTGCATTTTTGACCTTTTTCAACAGATTTCTTTCCCAAGTCTTCTCCTTTAAAAATTATATTGTATGGAAGCATCTAGTATCGCCTTTTTATAAACATGATATGGAAGGAGAAAAATAATGAAAAACTTATTTCTTGACATCAGTCTCAACAGAAGAYGACTTTCAATGTCAGCAGCAAGTTAAGTTTTTCCACTTGATGGCTATTTCTACCATATATAAAATGTTATTATTTCTGGATTCCTTCAATTCAGATTCCCCGAGACCACAGTTTGTCTTAGTCAGAGACAAATACTAAACCATGAACAAGAAGCTTTATTGATATAATGATAAATTGCTGTTGGATGCTGTCCAATTTTATAATAAAAGAGGCAATTTGTGAACTGTGTGTCATTAAGGCAGTAAGMAATTATCACTAAAACTATCCATCGTAGCTTATACAAGATAATATCTCTCTGCTAAACACAACCTCCATCTCCTAAACACAATCTCCTCTTCATCAGGAGTCTCAGCTTCTTATCCTATGTGGAGAAACCAAGATAGCCTTCCAATAGTTTTATTTAAGATCTTCTGGCTCTGACTTGCTGCTAAGTTTTTCAATAGAAGSAATTCTTTGCTTCATATGTAATAGAGAACCTAGCTTCTTTTATTTTTTCAAGAAAACACCTGTTAGCATTTCACAGAAGACATGTATAAAACAGTTTAACCAGCAGTCAGATGGTTAAAATACTCACTTAAAATGCAGGAAGTCAAAATCCAAGTTTCTGATCTTACTGACTAGACTGTTGGGACAGTCTTATCTGCCTTTTTAATTTGGTGGTAGGAAGGTTTGGAGACCTTTCATSAGCCCACAATAATGATCTCACATCTTATCAGAAACAGAATTCTTGTTTTCCACCTGGTGCGAATCACTTCTTATGCCTTTTTCAGAGGACTATCCTTCCTTGAGAGTATTCACCAAGGCTGGTGTGGCCCAGCCATGTCCTTTACATGTCTGTAGGTGGAACTCCTCTTCCACCTCCAACACTTCTAGGTTGCTCACTCTGATCAGCATCTGGCTTGTAGGAAATAATAGATCCAATAAGAAGGTCCTTGGCCTTGCTCAGCAAGAATGGACATCCCAGATGAGGGAAGTAGGCCACAGTCAGCTCCAATGAGTCAAATTTGGCAGAGCATCAGTTCTGACTTTTCGGGTTAAAAACACTGATAAACTGTCCTGTCTCATATTAAGTTGAAGTTTGAAAATTTTATGGTCTCTTCTAAAAAACACATTTTGCAGACTGAACTTTCTGAAGAAAGCCGGTGAATTTTGTACAAATCTTCCAATAACTCAGTTTTGAATCGTATCTTCCAATATATAATTTTAGTCTCTCGTATGATCTAAATGTTTCATTCTTTCCTATGATTAAATCTCATAGTTTCACTCAACTGTGGCTTCTGACTGTCACCTCATTGGTGTGACTAMTTCTTTTACAGATCCTGGAAAAGAGAAAGAATTGAAATCTCCAGCTGCCACAAAAGATAAAGGTAACATGGCAAGACAAATTTGTCTATAGCTCTAAAATCTATACATCATAGTGCATCAAGAAGAAGAATCTTGGAAAACGTTGGCCATGTTGTATTTTAAAGTATGATTTAGTTACGAATTTAAAAGCATAATACTATTTCACCAAGTTACTATGAAACTTAATTGTCATTTCCTGAATTAAAAGTGCAAAGTGAGCCCTGGTAACACCTCTTATGAAAACTCAGAAGTCTGAACTCCGAATTTCGGAACACTTGTTTCTTGTGTTAGGAATACTTGCTTATTACAAGCTGTAGAGTGATATAAATTTTGAGTGATCTTTTTCCTTTCCTTAAATTTAAGAAAATTTGTGGTTTCACTTTGTGAGCATGCTAAAACTGATGAAAATTAGTTTCGTACTACACATTTAATTGTTATCTTGTGTCACCAATTATTCAATCAATCATTATCCTTGAGGCATTCAATGTTAACCGTTTAACATCTAGCTTGAAGATTAATAGATTTTTTTTTTTTTACAGAACATGCTAAAGAAAAGGAAGGAAAGAATCCTACATCTTTAAAAGAAAAAGGTAAGAATACAAAATAAAATATAGAACTTTACAAAATAAAATATAGAACAAAATAAAATATAAAACCACACAGACTAGAATGAAGATGCTAATTTTTAAACAATCGTTATCAGTCTTTGTCATTATAAATCTTAAACAATCAAAATTTATTTAGTTAAAATATTCTACAGGATTTATAGCATTAAAAAGGTGGGGAGGTGGGAACATAAACAGAATGTATTGAGCTAATTAAAACTCAGAGTTCTCAAAATTAATTAAATAAAYAACATACATCACTCTATGTAATAATCAAGAAACTTCCAAAGAACATATGAACAGCATCAAGCCTTTAATAGGAGCCAGTTAAGAAATTCTGAACTGAATTGGTTCATAAATGTGTGACTATAATAGGAATAAAGTAAGGTTTGTAAACATATGAGTGGGAAACATGCTTTCTRGAATCTGTGAAACTAACTAACTTCATTGGATCATCGATCTGCAACATGAGAGATGGTCTGAATCTTTCTTGTATTCCTTGCCTTTTCAAACATTTCCCATGTTCTCTGAGGGTTTTTTTGGCAACTTAGTCAGAGTAGATGGTTAACTCAGTTGAATTTTCTTTCATCACTGTTTTGCTGGGTGCTTTTGTCTTGTCTTAGTCCTTCCCTCCTTGTCTCCCTCCTTTCTAGATATAACTTTATTTGGAAGAAGCTACTTATGGATAAGYCTTATTTGACATCTTCAGAATAAAAAGATCTACTATATATATATTCAAACTAATATTTATTCAAAGTTGTAGTCTATAACTTATAAGTCTATAGAGATAGATAGATTAGATAGCTAGCTAGCTAGCTAGCTAGATAGATAGATAGATAGATAGATAGATAGATAGATAGATTAGATAGATAGATAGATAGATAGAAATGGTCTGCAATATATAGAGTTTATAACTCTTTCAAGTTACAGTCATTCTCTCCTATTTCAAAGAAAGAACTGACTGAAGAGGTTAGTTCAACTGTATAGAAAAATGACAGAAACCCAACTAAAACAAAGGAGGAATAATCTTATTGCTAGACATATTTTTCAATATCCTGGAAGCTATGTTCATTCACTTACCTCTTTATTTAAAAATTGAAATTAGATTGTAGCAATCTGCAAATTATATGGCGTATATACTGTTCTGTGTGTCTTCTATTCCTATAGTACACATGCTCCATTTACATGAACTTAGTTCTGTGGACCATAACTGCACACCCAACCTCTCTGGAGTCCTGTGGCCCTCTCCACAGAGTGTCTATGATCTGTGGCTGCCTGATGGTGCTCTGCTGGAAAAYTAGAGGAGGAACTTGAGTGACAGCTCTGCCCCCTCTTTCCCTGCTTGGAGCTCGTATGTTCAGCCTGCTGCCCCTTTCAAAGGGAAGCAGGGAGAGGAGAAAAAAGAAAGAAGACCCAAAAGGTTTTTCTTCTCGACAAGAGTTTCTTTAGAGACAATGAAAAGGGATTTGCCAGCCCTGAACAAGGTTCCATAGTGTGTCCTTCTTTGAATGTGGCCACAGCACTCCTTTTTGTTTCCTGGGCTCACGTTTAGTAATTGAAATTATTACTAAGTTATTAACAGGTCAATTACTAAGTTATTAACTGGTCCTTCTAACATGACAAAGGAGGGTAGACATTCTCCACTCAATCTTCAGAAAGGGACTGCAGGAATTTCTTTGAAATGCCAATACAGCTGAAACTTCCTGCTGAATATGTCCCTTAAAGGCATCACAGGCTCCTGAGCCCCTGCAGTAGCACTGACATCCAGCCCAGCTGAGCCTGACCCCCAGATCCTGAGAGCTCTTGCTGATGCAGCCATCACTGTTTCCTATAAAAGGCATCAAACTCGCATAGTTCTGTGTCTGCCTAAAAATGAGGATGCTGAATGCTGAGCTGGATCACTCAGTTCAAAATATATGATGTCAGAGACAGTAGTGAGTACTTGCAAAGCTGTGAGGGAGAAACTTTTAAAAATCCCAGTGCCTTTCTGGACTGTATATTTTCTTATTGCATTATGGGTTACTCTGCTGCATAAACTTATATTTAGCACTATTCACCCCCCATTTCAGTCATCATATCTGCCCAAACTGCAGTTCATAAATTAATCAAAATCTGTTTGCATGCCACTCCTTCTCCTCTCCATCACCTTTTCAAGCCTCCTCAGTGGGCCTCTGTCAGGGTTATTGACCAGTTCACTTGGGAACTTCTTTTTTACTCTTTGCAACTTGGTGTTTTGCAATCTGTTCCTTWAAGTGGGTCTTTCTGGAGAACACAAATATATCAAAGGACTTTCTGGAGAACACAAATATATCAGAAGAAAGTAAGGGTTTTTAGGACTGCATATACTTCCTAATTATGTATCTTGGGAGTTTGTTACTATTCATGTAAACTAAATAAAGGAACACTTCTGGGTGAAGTGTTAAATACTTGTGATGATTAATGTTTGCCTGGCACCTTTTGCAATAAAAGAGGTATGATCACACCTCATTCCCTTTGAAGGGTGAGCTAAGTTCCAATGAACAAGGATGATGTCCAGACCAAAAATCTTATTCTAAAGCAGGYTATTTTTCATAAACTGAAGCATAGTGGTTTTATTTAAAGCAGAAATAGGAAAAATAAATTCCTGAATTGGGAGTTGTTGCTGGGATACTCTATAGATCATAACCTTACAATGTAACTTTATCTATTTTATGAGGAGAATAAAATGTCTTCAGTCTTGGAGTCTAATTTTATTGGCTGTAATTAAAGAGAAMACTGGAATAATATATTTTCCATTTCCTTGTGATAAAGGACATCTCAAGACTGTGTCTGAATTTATAATGAGCTTTGCAGCTCTTCCTTGCAGTAAAAAAGAGTAAAGAAGCCCATTTGTACTAACGAATATAAAAGCCAATTTTCTGTTGACATAAGCATATGCAAATAACTTGAGGCCAATGAAACTCTAAGRTATAATTTTCCACGTGGTTTTTGGATAGGTATCTTACCCACTTAACCAGAGTAGAAGCTCATTTATCCAGAGGTTGTAGCAGTGGCACTAGAAGTTCATAATATTTCATATATAACTCCTCAGTGAATTTTTCTAAGAAATTTGCATTATGCTGAGTTATTAAATTGACAGCATTTGTCCTGTATGGGTAAGGTAAATTCATTCTCACCTTGTGTTCCATGATTTATTTTCCAAACAAATGCTCTTTTTCCTTCTTCTTTGCTTTTGCCATGTTTTGGGATATCTTGAATATTTTCTTATGTCAGCTATGTGTGGATAATAAACCTATTCATTTTTATGAACAGATTGATGGCGGAAATAAGTCAGTAGTGTCTATTTCTTTCTTGCCATACACATTATAGCACACTGTCATTAAGKAAACAAATGAGCTGATTTGTCCTTACTATGCAATACTTGCGTTTCCTTTAAAGCAACAGTAACATGAAATAATAGCTTGCCTGTGGCATTTTTTATCTTAACTTATACTTTTTTTTTTCCTTCTAAAATGGTAAGTTATATTGTAAACCATATCAGTTAACATTTCTTCCCGTTTCCATTTACTTGTTGTCATTTGCATGAGAACTAGATATTTATCTTGAGGGTATCACTCACTGCTGCTGCTTCATAATTCTATGCCATATTCTTAACCTGACCCCTGCTTCACCCCTGGAGTAGAATGTGGGAGGAAAGCAGTAAGGTAAATGCTGACTTAAAGGCAGCTTTATGTTTTTCCTGTTCTGGGATGAGCAAGAAAGTGGTCAGTTGAGAGCAAGGGTTTGAAAAGCCCTCAGTGAGTGCCTGAAAATGGTGATCTCAGTACCCTTTACTTAGAGGGTGGGGAAGCTGGTGCACTATGGAAAGTGCACTGAGAGCTGTATCCAAAAGTTGTGAGAGTCAAAAGTGCTGAACCTGCCTTAGGAGCTGCACATTGTAGGAAATCCAAGGGAGATTTGCATCATGGATGGCAAAAAAAAACCCTCTCATGGGCAAATGGCAGCCAGCCTTCAAGGCCAAAGGCAGTGGGCTGTGGCTGTGGCTGTGGCTGTGATCACTGAGATCCCCAGTGYTCCCAAAGTGGGCAGGCTGGGCAGCTGCTGTCTCAAGGATTTTGTAGGGTCAATGTAGAGGCCACTTCGAAGGATTTCAGGCTTTGCACTGGAAGTTTTTTCTCTCAGTCTTTGAGAGTCCATCTGCTGCTRAGATGAGCAGGCTCCTAATTTCACAACCTATCCCTGAACAACTTCAGCCACCCTGGAAGTGAACTTTTTCGGTTGCAACTCACACTTAAAACCAGATGGATAAGTGGGATTGCTTCCTGGCAGCCAGGAGGATGTTCAGAGTTAAAATTATTTTGTAAAGGATCTTCTTTTAGCTTTTTTTGTTGTAGTGAGGACTTGGTTTACTTTCATTTGGAATAAATGGCATGGTTTTTTTTTTTTCTGGATGCTTATGTGCTATATCCTGTCAGATGGAATGCAACTGGGTCTGTTTAGCATCCTGCAGGCTGTGATATTCTCTCACTCAAAGCATATACATTCATAAGCCTATGAAACTATTTCCTCACTTTGGGAAAAAMTATTTTCTCCTAATTTCCCCAATAAATACACTTTAGACAAAAAGAGACTATTGCTTGAAAAAATATTTTMATGTTAGTTGTTTACACAACATGATGTCTGCTTTTTCTGCACTTGCTGACCCTGATGCATATTGCATGAAGGACTGAGGCAAAAGAAATATTCTTCAGAGAAAGCAGAAACTATCCTCATGAAATTTTGGAYAAGGCCCTAAAAATTTCTAATTCTGGGTCATTGCTTGCATTTTCCCCTTCTTCTTTCCAGTTTCCTCCTCCCTTCTATGAGATCTCTACAGGCAGTCTTCAACAGCAATTTATACTATTGCTTCTGCTACTAACATTATTACCCCTTAAAAATATAAGATAGTCACCAGAAAGGGCATAAAGAGAGGTCAAGACTGCATCTATTTATGTTCACAATTTTAGACTTAGTTTTTAAATGCATCTTGGATGTTCTTTTATATGTAGAAGGACATTCCTTTCTTCCAAGTCTCAGAAATATAATTGTCCCCCTGCAGATACTCTGAAAGTGAAAAATCCCAAGAATCCAGAAGGCTTAAGAGAAAAAGGTAAGTGAAGAAGCTAAGAAATGCAGACCTGAATATCAGAGCAACTATTCAGTCTAGAAATAGCCCTTGAGTAGGAATATAGAAGTGCAGAAAACCAAACCCATCCTAGTTCCTGTTTAGATTATTTTAGTCAYTATAATGTTTTTAATAATATTTGTRCTGTAATAATCCCAGTAGGATCCCTAGAAATCAYCTGGGCTTCTTTTAAATGTGAATATTTCAATTTGCATCTTGGGGGAAATACTAAAATTTATTTCTATACCACTTKTGGATGTTAATCTGTCAAAAATGAGTTGTGTAAATCCCATAACAGGAACATCACCGAAGGGAACTAGACTAAATCTGGTCCATGTGGCTGCAGCTCAGGAATGTGGGTGTCTGGGAAAGAAACTGACTGAGACTATGACAGATCCAGGCGTCTGAGGGTGACTGATAGGTCAAGATTTTTTCTTAATCTGTTGGCAGCGTGGGCACATACATCTCTGTGTCTAATCTCTTCAGTTTCAAGACTACTAGCTATTCACATAGGGCCATGGGTTTCTTGATTGCATGTTTGGAGAAAACCCTATYTGTTGCAATGCAATGTGTATTGAGCACTCTCTTTCTGGAGAGTCCTGAAACAGCAAAGGCTATCAGAACTGTGTCTAGTTCCTGAGCTGGAACATCACACCTGGAGTCCAAATTGTTACAAAACCCCCTTTTTTTTTTTTTTTTTTTTTTTTTTTTTTTTTTTTTTTTTTTTTTTTTTTTTTTTTTTTTNTAAGTTGAAGGTATTCAATGCAGTCCAGATTATGGCTGCTGAATAGATATACAGCAAAATTACACACTTCTGCAAGGAATGCATTATTCTGTGTGAAAGCTCTGGGGAATGAGGCCAGGATACCAATTGTGGCTGATAATTCTCCTCTATGCCACTGTTGTCTGTATCTCACCTCTGTAACTCACCTGGGCATMACAAGAATATCATACATTTCCTTTATTTCTGCTTTGCTAACATCTGGATTTGGGGTGGGGGGGATGGGTTGGGATTGGTTGGTTCTTTGGTTTGTTTTTTTTTGTCCTTGTGTGTCTTGTCAGTTACTAGAAAGAGAGAATTAGAATATCAGAGGKTTTTTTTCTCATCTCTTTTAATACTTTGTCATATACTGTAGAAAAAAAAAATAGAGCTTCAATTAAGTCCTTGGACTATTGATTGAGAAATAAAATATACAAATGTACATTTGAAGGATGAGCACTGCTCTTTTTTATAGCCAGTGTGATTGTGATTTTAAAAGGCTATATATATGCAGGAAGTGAAATTCYGTTCACATGTGTCCTCTTTGATATTAAAAGAATAACAGAGTCCTGAATGAGTAGYTGGTTCTTTTGTCACTCCTGAATAAAAAAAAAAACCTCCCACTTACCTTTATTAGCAGCCTCTGGATTTCAAGACCAGWATTCCTAATATTTCAATTGTATCAATGTGGATTAATTTTTTKGGGGGTTCAGCAAAAGTCATTGATGCCAACTGCTCTATAGAATTTCTTTCTTCTTTGTAAGTAATTCTTTATTGCCTACTTGAGAGAGGGCTCCACAGTTTCCTCAAAATATGAAGAAACTAATGACATATTGAAAGCTCATTGTTTTGCATATCCAAGACTAAAAAGATGAATGGATGACCTTGWTTTTTTGTCCTGTTCTTTACTTCCATGCTGTTAAATCCATTTAATTACCACATCCTTTTTGCTCTCCACATACGGATTTGTTYGACTTGCTTTCTTTTCAAGTGTCATCTTATTTCCCTAACCTGACTTGTGATAAATGTTAAATGTTCCTTTCTAGAGACTAGTAAAAGAAAAGATGTGAAGCCTCCAGCAGCCATAAAGGAAAAAGGTAATGTCTTATCATTATGTGGCTGGCAAATAACAAGTCTTCTGCTGGTATCTCAGTGCAGTTTTGATATATTTTAAATTACAGGCTGTTGGTGAAAAGGGACTAAACTTGGATTCTTCTCATTTCATAGACCTGATATATTGAAAGGAGCAGTGTCTGACATGATTCAGAAATAATAAAGTTGTAACCCTTCTTATTGTGCTGTTCTTTAGCTGCTGTCTGACCTGCAGAGCCAATAYTGCAGTGGGAGTGCTGGTCTGTTCTGCATGAATTAGTAACAGAGCTGCTGCAGAATGCACATGACAGACTGAAATTATAGGCTGCACAGGAATGAGTGCATGGTTTGACCTGCAGAAACTTGGCCAGAAAATTTAGTGGGAACTATTTTTTGTTTGCTTTCAACCTTAGTTTGTGCCTTTTRTTGAATGAAATGGAAATTCTAATTCTTAACACAACTCTTCTACACATTTGGTTAATCTGGTGTCATACACATTTGTTGTAGTACCCACAAGCACAGAATATACTTACAGTGCTAATATTCTCCTTCCATTTTTGTGTCTGATTTCTTTTTCAGACTCTTCAAAACGGAAAGAAATTAAGGCTTCATCTAATCCTAAGGAAAAAGGTAACAATCACAAGTTGAACTGAGCCTTAGCATAAGACTCAGTCGACAAAATAAATCCATTGTGCAAGGATTCACAAATCAAATCCTAGTTTCTGCAGTTAGCCATTCCTAAATATCCTTGAATGGCATCCTTTGCTGCTGGACATTCTTTTTCTTGTCTGACAAGTGACAGGTGCATATGGGGATACACAAGCAACTTGCAGCAGAGGTATTTTATAGACTCTAGAATCAAAAGGACTTGTTTTCTTTTTTCTTGATTTTGTCTCTTTCTATTTAAATTTGTCGGTTCAGATTGCATTTTACTTCTACTTCTACTCTGATTTGATTGCACTTTTCTCTCTCTTCTTTTATTGAAATATCAGCATTAGCCATCAAATAAAAATCAATTACAATTTGTAGTACTTCTCAAAAAYTAGCAATTTTTAAGCACCATGATTATAATTGATCAATTCTGTTCAGGTTTGTTTATTCATTTCAGCTAAATTCAAACAAAAGTTAGTTTTACTTTTACATGATTCACATATGGATTAAATGCAACTTGCTCATTATAAAACAGTGTTTCAGGTTAAATATGTGAATAATTTAACATGGATAACAATGTGTAATAACTTGTTAGCTAATAATAGTAATTTGAGTCATGAGAATATAATAGTCAATCTTAAAATCTTCCAGTCAGTTTTGAGAACTGTTTCAGATAACTGAATAATACTACCTCCTATCTTTAGATTTTCTCTAAGTATACTAGAAATAATAAGGCAATATTGTCTTGGCAAAGTTATGAGAGACAGCATTTGCAAGTTTTTAAGTGCAGCTATTTCATGTACTGTATAGCAGAATAGTGAATACTAGCTATTATTTTGGATCACTGTTGGATTTCACAGTTGGATCACTGTGAATCAAAGTGAAGGCTTAAGAGCTACCAGAGGAAGCCAACAAGATGWTTAGAGGGATGGAGAACCTCTCCRATGAGGAAMGGTTGAGAGAACTGGGAATGTCCAGCCTTGAGAAGGCTTTGAGTGACCTGTTTGTGGCCTTTCAGTACCTGAAGGGATCCTATGAGAAAGATAGAGTGAGACTATTTACAAAAACATGTAGTGAAAAAGGGGAATGGCTTCAAACTGAAAGAGAGTAAGTATAGATTGGATATTGGAAGAATTTTTTTACTGAGAGGGTGGTGAGTAGGTTGCCCACAGAAATGGTGGATCTATCCCGGGAAGTGTTCAAGGCCAGGTTGSATGGGGCTCTGAGCAACCTGGGCTAGTGTAAAGTGTCCCTGCCACCATGGGAGGGGAGGTGGACTGGGTTATCTTTATGGTTCCTTCCAACTCAAACCATTCTACGATTCTATGAAAATAAGCTACGGCTTAAATAGTCTGAAACTCCTTGTAGCAGCCAAAGTAGATGAACCTGAATTGTCTGTTCAAGGTCAAGGGCATTAGAAAATAGGGACACGTTGTTGCACCATTTCCTTTAGTTTACTTTAGTCAACAGGGAGCAGTAACCCTTCACAGAAAGAGTTGTCAAGCATTGAAAAAGGCTATCCAGAGAAGCGGTGGAGTCATCACCACTGAAAGAATTTTTGAATTTATATATATGGCATTTGAGGATATGGTTTAGTGGTAAAAATGGCGTTGGCTGGGCTGACACTTGGACTTGATCTTCAAGGTCTTTTACAACTTTAATTTTATGATTCTAAGTGTGGGTGGCTTTTGTATATTGATTATTGTTTTATTAGATCTTGGCTTTTTATTGTAAGCTTGAGGCAAGCAAGGTTTATAGTCTTCCTGTTACCTTCCTGCAAATATATCCATGAAACATAAGTTAATAAAGAGTTAAATGTTAATTAGATCCTTAGGTATTTGACTACTGAGCTTACCATTGAGTTTCTTCTCTAATTCTTCTCATAAATATTTCTGGTTGGAAGACTGATTTGTTTAAATTTAAGTGATAATGAAAATTAAATGCTATTTACTTCAAAAGATCCAGTATTGTATAGAAGAAATAAATGTCTGTAAAAGACTTTTAGTTGCAATGCTAATGAATTAGCTTCAGTGAAGTGTCAAACACCCACCCAACTATATAAAGAATAAGTATTTAAAAAGTTCATTAACTCAGTTTAATCAGACAGTGAAACAACTGGTGAATAACAGCTCCTTTCAAGTTCCAAAACTGAATTATTTCAAGAAAGGACATGTTTAATTAAACATTGTAGAATTCCACCGTCTGCACATGAAGTGGTTTATGCTCGGTATATTTGAAAAGGAAAGTTACTACCCAGAAGTGATTAACTCTACTCTCTTTTCTTTTTAGTAAAATTAAGTCTTCTTCCWGTAGTAGATGATAAAACTTTTGCAATTTTTTTCTTATATAAGAAAATAACCATAGAAAGTATGAGTAATTACAGTAGAAAGTAGGAGCTATATTTGCAAGAGAACTTTCATTTTGCAGATTTTCTTTTATTTTTTACATGGCCTAATTTTTTTTAACCTATATATTAAGACATTGTAAGAAAAAAAAGTCTGTGTTGTTTTGTTGTCTTACAGTTTTATAGTTTCTTGCTTGTCAAAACACAAGAATCAAGATTTGAATGTTTAGTGTAAAGTATGCCAAGTTTAACTCCCCTGCAGTACAAGGTCACCTTAGAGACAACTACGATTGTTCTGATAAAGCAACTTGGGTGAAGGCTGAGCTAGAATTGATTGGTTTTATACTAACAGCAGGATATTTGGGTGAGAAATGCCACAATCTAGGGGAGCTTAATAGTGCTGAGTTTGCAGAGCCTTTACCAACTTCCCAGCACTACCCACTTCTGCTATTCCTAATGGATTGCATACAACCTTGTAGGTCACCTGTGGATGAACTTGATGCCTTGCACAGCTCACTGAGAACAACTGACATCTCACATCTGAGACAACATCTCTCTTTGGCTCTTGCTAACTCTATAAGAACTCAAAATATTTGGATTAGATGCTGTCAGACACACAATCAGGCCTACTGCCACCTAAGTTTTGTGTATCTTAGGTCTGCACAGTGAGCAGGWCTACAGATCCTTGAAGGCCCCTGAAGCAAGACTGCAACAGAAAAGTTGAGTGGGAAAGTTGAGCTTGAGTGGGAAGATCTCAAGTTGCATACTCATGCATAGTGGCACCACTTTTATGTGAGCAATAGATAGGATTCAGTAATTTGCTGTTCATCAAAGTTCACGACACAGCAAATCTTATACAGTCTTACTTTGAGGCAGTTCAGCTCAGTGTCTGCAGGTTTGTAAAAGTTGTTTCTGTCTTTTCTGTTTCTTGTGAGAGAACTTCACATGCCATTTCTTAGCTTCTGGGACTCATACAAGTGCAACATTTCCAAAAGCAAACACAACTAACTCAGTGAYACTGAATATGCATGACAAGACATTGACATTTTGTCAGAAGAGTGTAACCCCAAYGCATAAAGTGGCTTTAAGCATTCATGTGGGATGCTGTGCATCACTAACCCTCTCTTTCCTAACAATGATAAGTGACATGTCATACACATCAGGCAGACAGTTTGAGAAATGCCTCTATGGGGAAAAGTATTCCAGAAATTTTGTGGCCATTGCCCTGTAACCAAGTGGGAACAGGAGGTCACTTTTATGAGCACTTTTGTTTCTAGCCTACTGAGAGTACACGGGGTGCTTCCTCAGAGGACTTCTCAGGTTAAACTAGCCAACCAAAAACTCCTTGAGAAATAGCAGTGTTTTGATTAGCACTTGCTACTTTACAGAAATCTGCCAAATCCAGTGTAAATTGCAGTAACAGAAGTGGCCTCAGCRCAACCTCTTTTTTATGATAAATACATTTCTGAAATGTGAAAAAATGCATTCACCCAAGCTCAATGTAGAATTATAATGGAAAATCCTGAATAACAGAAAACTGAAATGTAAGGTAGATACATGTGATGTACAAAAATCTCAATATCAGCCTGTTCAAATGGCCCATCCATTACAGAATATCATTGCTTCTCATTGTCGGTAAGAAATACTTCAAGAAAATACTAGAGCTCTGAAAGTCATAATAAGATAATGACACATATACAACAAGGACTGAGTCATAATGGGTGATATAAAATTCCCATTGTGAGTCAGCATTTCTCTGTAAAAAATCTTCATTAGGCATTAGAAAATAAGAGAAAAAGGACAGAAGTAACATACATAATGTGAATGAGCACCATTTTGGAAAAGGAAGAAGCTAAAATTTTAATTCCAAAAAAGTAGGTTATATAAAGATGAGGTATGTTTTAGAGCAAAAAACAAAGTGTAAAGTTGTCCTTATGGCTTGATACTTGTTTTTTTTTTATTACTTTTTGTTAAGGAAAATATTCAAGTATAGCATATGTATGCMGAAAAATACATTTGGTAGTCAAAACAGGTTTATAAATGAAAGTATGTCTGTAGATACTTCAGCTGTTTTCTGGAGTTAARGACACAGTACTTCAGGAGATCTCACCAGAGCAGAGAAGACAGAATCTCCTCCCTCACCCTTCTGGCCACACTGCTTTTGATGCTGCCCAGAGCATGGTTGGCCCTCTGGGCTGTGAGTGCACATCACTTTGAGCTTCTTGTCCACCAACAGCCCCAAATCTTTCTCCTTTGGGCTGCTCTCAATCCATTCTCTGCCCATCCTGTGTTTGTGCTGAGATTGCCTCAATCCATGTGCAGGACCTTGCACTTGGCCTTGTGAACATCCTGAGGTTCACACAAGCTCACCCCTCAATTGTGACACTGTCCCTCTGCATTTATGGCCACAATTACACCAGACCAGGCTCCATATACAGTCAAAAGGAACTTACTCAGGAATATTATAACACTGTTGCTACTTTTACCAAGTGTCCTTACAGAGAGAGAGGGCTGTTCTGGTTAAGAAATGGTGTTCCCCAATTTAGTGGTCCCAGTGGAACACYGCAAACTACACACTGCTCACTCGTATCCCACTCACTCCCCCTGGAGTGAGAACTGGAGAGGAGAACTGGAG